CATTTGGGAGTTTTTTTGAACTGAGACAAAAAAAATCTTTGATTTCTCCATCATTATTTCACCTAATTCTATCAAATTTGTCCCAAATTGTACCTCTTGTATTATCTAAAATAGTCCAAACAATTTTTTTTTGAATCAAAACAAAAAATCTCTATTCTTGATTTGGGAATTTCTCCCCTTTTTTTAGCATTTTCTTCTATTCCCGTCTTGTTCTTCTTTTTATTTATTTATTTATAAGTATAAACAAGGTATTCCGTGATATCATTTGATTTCAAACAATTTGCTATTACCTCATCAAATGTCAATAAGAGATGGTTGGTTTCAAACAATTTGCTATTCCAAATTATTCAAGACATAGGAATGGAGTGAAGGCTATGTGGTCAGAGTGAACTGTCTGGTTCAAGTGAACTGTTAACGAAATTTAGCCAATGAACATTGTCAGAGAAGAGTTTCGATCAAGAGAGGCAAATAATTTTGGGAACCATTAGATTTCAATTTGAAGTCAAGGTTATTGATGCAGTTATCTCATACATGCCGTAAAGTCATTGTTGCACTCTCCATCGTTGCTTTAAATTTTGAATGTTTGAATGGAGAGCAAGAATATGTGCTGATAAAAAGCATTTTGGCCGAGACGAATTACGCCGATGCCGAGTTCTATCTCTGAGACGATTCAATCACAAAGTCCATTTTCTAACGATAGTTGAAGTCCTACTCTTTCGTCAATTTAATCATATTTTAAGAAATTATTTTAGGTAGGCATTCATTGTTGCCGTAAATGAATCATGTTTTAAGAAAGTATTTTAGCTTTGTTCCCTAGTTAAGTCTTAAATTGTGAGTGGGCTGATACGTATTAGATACCAATACCCATTTTCTATGTATTTGTATAGTACAAATGTATCTAAATCCAACCTGTCAATTCTCAGAATAGACGTTGTAGATGGACCGTTCTTCCAAAATTTTTTAGAAAAAGTTCATGTCCACCATCTGCTCAATTGAGGAATCATTCATCTTTACTTATCGATCACTAACAATCGATATGTTCTTAAGGTTCACTGAGCAGAACTATAATACTTTGGATCATTATTGTAAGTGATAAATGGTAATGAAAGAGAGTGGAACCCACTAAAATAATACAAGCATCAATGGTTGATACTGTGAGAAACAATCTTTCTCTGCTATATGAGTGTTATATACAATTAGGTAGTGACAATGTTCTATATCCATAATTTGTACTTTACATATCTGTTGTAGTTGTCATACTTGTTCACACTCCCCCTCAAATTCGAGATGATTTGAAAGAAATCATAAAGAGTTTGGAAACAAATTGTGATAAAGTATACGGAGGATGAGACTTAGTAAAAAAGTCAGTGAGTTGAGCTGCGGTGGGCACGTATGGTAAGAAAATTGTGCGTGCTAGATATTCTTGTCAAACATAGTGGCAATCGATTTCAATATGTTTTGTGTGCTCATGAAACTCTGGATATTTAGAAATGTAGATAGCACTCTTGTTGTCACAATAAAGTGGAGTAAGAGTAGAGAAAGCGACACCCATGTCTTCGAGCAGCCAACGTAGCAAAACAATCTCAGTGGTGGTTTGTGCCAGAGCCTAGTATTTAGCTTCCTGATTGAGCAAATCGTTTTTATTTCTTGCTTTTCCAAGAGATAAGAAAATCACTGAGAAAAATGCAAAATCCTGTGGTAGATTTGCGATCGCTCGGGTTTCCTGTAAAATCAGAGTCTGTATAGGCCCAGAGCTCAAGTGAGATAGAGGAGGAGAAAAATAAAGCTTGATGACGGGTATCCCTGATATAATGAATGATGTGCAAAATGGCTGCGAGATGTACATAGCGCGAAGAACTCAGAAACTGATTAACCATATGAATTACACAAGCAATATCTGGACGTGATATTGTCAGATATATCAGCTTTCTAACCAGTTTCCTATAAAAGGTTGGGTCAAGAATAACTTCTCCATCTGTAGCTCGAAATTAGCATTGACCTCAAGAGGTGTATGAACTCTCTTTGTATCATCCTTGAGTCGAGCTTGAGAAACAATCTTTGAAACATATTTTAGCTCTGACAACAGTTAGCCATGAAGAGAATATGCAACTTCTAATCTGAGAAAATACCGCTTCTATTTGATTTTGTGAATTGTACTCATATCATTACCAGAGATAATCATGAACCCATGTATAGTAACAAGATAACTCGTCCTTCAGAAGTTTCAGACACAAAGAGGGTTGGGTCATGATGACTTTGTCGACGAAATTTCTTAAACCAAACATGACGTGCTTGTTTGAGTCCATACAAGGCCCATCGAAGTTTACACTCGTTTTTTAGAATCCACAATGCTTGGAGATAACTTCCTTATCAAGATCACCATTGAGAAAAACATCTTTTTACATCTAATATAAAGTGGCCATTGCTGAATATAAACTACTGAAATCAATGTACGAACAATAGTCATATGGGCAATGGTAGCAAAGGTTTCTACAAAGTCGATGCCATATCGTTGATTTTAACCTTTTGCTATAAGAGAAGCTTTGTATTGTTCAAGACTACCATCTGCGTTGATTTTAATTTTATATACCCATCAATAACCTACATCAATTTTTCCTTTTGGGAGAGGTATTAGGTCCCAAGCACGCATGTGCTCGAGTGCATTCAACTCATCAGTAATTGCTTGTTGCCGCTCAAGTTCACTTGCAGCTTCTTTGTAAGTCTGGGGTTCAGAATAAGAATAAACAGAAACAAGGAATGCTTGGTGCTGAGGGAAAAAGGTCAGCAAGTTGGGTAGGTAGGACAAATACCCAGGTGCTTCATTTAAGAGCAAGGAGCGGCAAATGGTCAACAGGTTTAGGGTTTTGATTAGGATTGTTAGCATGAGTTGATGGAGTTCCTTCCTGGGCTTCAGATGGAGAGAGACGAGTGGAGTGACCAGAGGAATTGGGAACAGAATCATAAAAAGGGACCAAGAAAGAAAGATGAGAAGATGAGTGATAATTTTTATTTTCAAAGAATGGAATATGTTCATAGAACACCATATGTCGGGATACCCAAAGTCTTTTGGTCACAGGGTCATAGCACCGATATCCTTTTTTATGGTCAGGGTAACAGATGAAGCAACATTTGACAGTTTTTGGAAAGAACTTATCTCTCTCAATTGGGGGCAACAATACAAAGTAAGTGCAACCAAAGACACGTAGAAGGGAATAATCAGGTGATTGTATAAATAATTTTTGGAAAGGTGTTTCACCAGATAAAATAGAGGAAGGCATGACGTCGATGAGAAAGATTGATGTACAAATAGCTTCTACCCCAAATTCTTTTAGACAGATGTAGATA